ATATATATAGAATGTATTTGTATATATTCATTTGTATATACATATATATATATATATATATATATAACTATATATAACTAAATCTTAATATAAAGAGCAAGTAAAACATTATTAGGTTTAGCTGAGAGATTAGTTGAAGGTTCTTTTCGTATTCGCTTTGATAACAACACTAACATTGTTGCGTATTTCCGTTTGAAATTTAGATTTTCTTCGTAAAAATTTAATTTTACATATGAAGTATGTAATGTTAATAATGTTTAATTATTATTTATGCATACGTACAAAAAATTCCTAACTTCCTAAGTTATACTAACACATAGAAAAGTTCTTCTCAAACTATTAATGCTTGCGATAAGAGAACAGTTTTTTCCCTATTAAATAAATGCCTTTTTTGATCCGATCACAGCGCTGAGATGCCTGTCTAGTAGAAAATTAAATTTGATTTCGGCTCCCATCAGCAACGAAGACTTGCAGCTGATATCTTTTTACATCAATTTGTAATATGCGATTTATTGAAACGCCCGCAATCGAAAAACTAAGGGACAGTTGATGCTCTTTTTTGAATGCCAAGTATCATATTTGTAGATATCACATATAAAACGATAATTGTATCTAAACAGAGAGGGGAAAGAGTGCTTTAGAACGTTTCTTAGAAACGCTTCACTATAAATTTCACTTAGGTTCGAGGAAACTCATCTGCGCAGACAGGCTTAGAATAACCAATACTATTTAATTCAGATTAATCAGAATACACTTGGGCTCCTTTCGTTGAATTTTTCAAATTTACCCGAAACTTTACTTTAAAAAAAACGTACTTTACATAGTCGGCAACGTTAAAGCATTGTTTATTTATTGATTATTTATTGACGCTTATGTAACCTGATAATAGGTAACAATGTCTAGCATTGCTTGAACAAGTAAAAGAAATAAAAATCTATGAAAAATATGGAGCAACAAAATAAATTTTGATAAATATATATTTTTCTTTGACTATAGAACGAGAGATTGACGATCCTGCAAACAAAGTCGTGCTATAAGTCAGTGGCTACGTTACACCATCTTCCAGTGGTTTCAAAAATTGGTGGCAGAAAAGATGTTGCAGTTAATAATCTGCGGAATGCTTTGCGTGAGGGCTTTAAAGGCTTCAGCTCACGTTAAAACGTTAAAAAAGAATTATTTCAGTCCTGTTATCGGTAACTTTTCCACTCCCTACAAACACTTCATTACAATTTCCATCCTTCCTCTTTCGCTATGATGCTTATCAGCTAACAATTCTTTGATATCTGACGGTAGGTTCACTAACTGGGAAGAAAATACATGAGGGTCCATTTGGTGCTGAAATGTTCGTAACTCAATTTTAGTACTTGGCTGAATCAAATCGAATTAAAAGGTTCACAATTCGAGGGATCTATTTAATATAAAGTGCAATCATACAAAGATAATTTTCATACCTGCATTCCCCTAATTTTGGAATAGCATTCACAAAGGTTGCACTACAGGAACACAATCCACTATTAATAGCCTTACGAGCATCCCTTTCGGAGATAAGCATTCAAATTACTATTACTATTAGGCTATGTGCATTATATGCGAGCATGGGACAAGGGGGAAGACGGGAATTAATACTATTATTATTAATATTATTACTGTTCCTATTATTACCTTTTTCTTATCATTATTTTCTTTACGTTATTATTTCTCTCCTTTAAGATATGAAAAGTTACAAAGGAGAACAGAATTATAAACAGAAGATATAGAATTACATAATTCAAAGTATATGTATATGTATATATAACTTTTAAATTTTCTGTTGTTGATTTGTTTATTTAGTGTCATCCATGAATCATCTTACTTACTCCTAGTATGTACAATGTTATGGCCCATTGTATTTTGGATTTAGTCGCACCTCTATTAGTCCTTTTTTCAGAGTTGCTATTATTTTTACTCTTTCCAGTGTCGCTTTATTGGTATTATCCATGGTATGTATTTGGTTATTTTTTCTAAGTGCTTTTTAGTTCTATTTTCGTCGCCTGGTATAAACACACCAATAAGTTGCACATTTTCTCTTTCGTATGAACCATTACGATATCGTGCCCACTATGACTTATTGAGTCTTCAGTTGGATCGTTTTATTCTAGTATAAAACGTTTTCTGTCACTTTTCATTATTTACTATTATTATTGTGAAATATTTTCTTGATGCATTAATAATCTTTGAGGATTCACGTAAAGCATTGTGTTAAATAAAATTTAACGCCGCCACATTTTTGTTATATCTTTCTCTTAACTCAAATGTAAACAAAGGAAATCACCTGCGTGCAGTTTAAAGAAAGAATCGCTTGAGGAGACCTTTCAATGGCGTGAATATATCAAATGATGGAAGTTTTAACCAATTCCATGAAAACTTCCTGACAAAACATCTAAGATTTCGAATTTTTTGTTGAAAGTTTCCAACTAGAACTTCCTGATCGTAATGATGAGTAGTAGTGAACCTATGATTCCGTTTCCGCGTTTTTTTTTTTTTTTTCATTTTACATGTTATCTTTGGATTGTTCATTTGCATAATTCGTAATTTATGAATATTCGACTTCGCAACTCCTTTAAAGTAAACTTGGCATGACAAGAGTCATCATCAAAGAAGCTTTTAAAACTGATGTCCTTCTAAAGAGAAAAAAAAAAGCTTTTCAGTATTTGTCGCCTTTTCTAGAATTTCATCTATTCGTAGTTTGAAGTAAATCTTTTTTTTTTTCAACAGATGTTCTCAGGTGTGGTGTGTTGCGTTCAGCAGAAACAACTATTCCACAGAATTCGAGCGAAATATAATACGTAAGAGACGGTTCGGACATTTTCTTAAAAGGCTCCCTTACAGCGTTTGTTTTAAATTGATTGCTTAGTACTATCTATATCTTGTGTGATTAGCGATTAGTAGTATATCTCGGATTGGATATGACGGGGGTAGCCTATGTTGAGGCAGTAGCCTTACGCTTTCAGGCGAAATGTATATGATGTAGCGTTTTTGAGAGTTAAATTATGTGCTGAACAAAATACAACTTATGGAAAGCGTCTTATCTCCGTCCGATTGATGTCCGATTCTACGCTGGAGTTTTTAGAACATTAAGTTTACATATGTCGTACTCCTATTTACCTCATAATACTGTACGAAAAAATACAAAGGGCAAAGTAATGTTGTCACTGCAATTAGGCTTAATATTTTTTAGACTTTCTAATATGTAAACTATAGTCAGTCACACATGTAATTGATATTAATAATTAACATTACTCATACGCTTTGTTGTATAATAAACTTGCATGCTTTTGCGTATGTGTGAGGAAATCTAAAAATAACTGTTACGTTTATGTTGAAATAAATACATTACGCAGTTCTAGTCTAATGTTAAGAAAATTAATAAAAGTAGGTGAAAAAATTTTTAACAAAATTGTATATTTCATAAAAATTCGTGTACAATGTATGCAAATAAATATTTTATAAATATGAAAAAAAAAAAAAAAAAACATGTTTGCCTTGACTTATAACACGAAATATTTTCCAACATTGACGTATTATATGCAGCGTATTTGTTATGCAGTTTTTTATTCAACGTGCATGGATGCATTTGTATGGATATGCATTCGTGTATATGTATACAAATTTGTAAATGTTTGAAATAATAAGAAAGCATTCATTCATTTTTTAAATTTCATGCGATAACAGCAATTATAAAGTGAGACTTGTGATACCCACTTACATACTTTTGCAAACAAGTCGGAACTTATGTGCTAATTTGTTGTTTTCATTTCTTACAATTGTTGATAATTTTAACTTTAATAGCGAGCAGCAGAAGCAAAAGCAAAAGCAACAGCAGCATCAATAACTTTGCGTTTAGTTCATATCATAACAAATACTACTGCATAATATACAATATATATATGTAGGTGTATACATTTATATGTACAAATAGAAACATATATAAATGTGCATATATATACATATATATATATATATATATATATATATTTATATATATAATTATGTGAATACCTATACACAGATTAAGGATAATATTTTTTTAAAGTTTTTCTAAACGTAAATCTATGAGCAAAACTTTCAAGATTTTTAAGAAAAATGTCAAAAAAGTTATCATCTGCATGATTAACAAATACACGCAAAATCGCAAATTGTGCAAAACTATACAAGCTACATATAAAACATATAATTGCATATATATATTTATATGTATGTGTATATATATACATATATATATATATTTATGCATATATATGTATGTATGTGTGTGTGTGTGTGTGTGTGTGTGTGTGTGTGTGTGTGTGTGTGCATTTACACATTTATATTTCTATGTAAAGAATGTATGCTTTCACACACTTCTAGTGTGTGAACTATGTTATACGTGCGATATCTGCGAGCAGACATATAAACACACAAACATACACACACACACACACACACAGGCGCGCATAAGGCACATAAGACAAGTGTTCGTGAATTCACATATATTGCGCTCACACTTCGTTAGCATATTGGAGACATTCGTGTAAGTAAAGATCGAAAATCGTTGTTTTTGTTGAGCAACGATCAATGTAGTGTTGGCTGGAATTTCTTCAATAATTAGTTGTGTTGTGCCTTCGCAAGTAAGTAGTAGTTTGGCTACTGGATGAATTTGTTTGGCTTGCAGCGTGGCAAGCAATCAGTACGCTCCAGTCGTTCCATAGTGTTAGATCGTGCGCTTAATATAATAGTGCCAAGCCCGTTTGAGAGGCCCATCACTCTACCCTTTAATAGTGGGATAGATGGGGTTTGCAATAAATGAAAAAAATTTTTTAAAAAATATATATATTTTTTTATTTTATTTACTTAAAGAAAGAAAAGAAAAAAAATTTTTTTTTTTTGCAATTGTTTAATAAAAAATATAGTTAAACGATAACCACTAAATAAGAAAAAATAATAAAAACTCGAATTGTACAAAATCCCGACACACATAAAAAAGTAAATAGATCGTTAAATTAATAAAAAGCGAAAAAAAAAAAATTTTAATAATAATTACTTTTTTTCCAACTTCATGCAAACTTTTCAAAGAAAGTTAACCGACTAGTGTTTATCGGGTGGTGTGAAATTTTTTTTTTTTTTTTCTTAAATTTCAAGTTATACATTTATTAAGTGGGAAAGTGCAAGAATAGCAAATTCTAAGCGTTGATATTTTTAGGGGTATAATGGAGCCCCGTTGGAAGCGGTAAGTCATCATTAAAAAATAAAATTCGATTTTTGGAAAAAATTTGTTCTACTCTTGAAAAATAAAATTTGCTCTAAGAAATAGAAAATATTGAGAAAAACTTTCATAATTAATTTTTTAAAATAAAATGATTTCAAGACTTTAAAGCTTAAGAGCACTAAACTCTTAAAACTCTCTTCATTTGTTGTTTATTTGATTGGTTACTCAGTAAAATTTTTTTTCTCTTCTGCAGAAGAGACAAATTCTCTTTAATTATATCTCTTACGAGTCTCTTTCTTTTTTTTTTTTTTTTTTTTGATTACTTCTGTCTGCAGCAATATGAACTTATCTTTAAGTTTAACAATTTACGCGAACATCTTAGAAGAAAAGTGATCGATATTTAATCGGAAACATTTCATATTCCAGTAATGTCACTAAAGCGGACAAGGAACATGTCAATCAGGTTAAAAGGCCATAATCAGGTTATCTATCTTTCTTTTAGTAATAAAAATAATTCTTCACATTACTCAAATAATTCAAGTTTATCTTCGTACTTCTATGTTTTATTTTTTTTTTTTCGGGAACCAAAAGTTAACTTTAGAGCACGAAATTCTGCTTTAGTTTACTTTATTGCCGTTTCTTTTTTCTGATTTTTGATAGATGAAAATTTTAAATATCATCAGTTGAAATTCTCGGAATTTACTGCGATATGATTCTTTTTGATAAGTGCAGTTCCTTCGCCGATTGTTGTTTATAAAATATATAAGAAACTTGAAAATTTTATTGCGCATAAAATATGAATTCCATTTTCCAAAAATTCTGAGTACTAACTAACTGATCGTCAATAAGTATTAAACTTCATTTGATTTTTGAGAATGTCTTGTGTATGCTATCTCCTGATGAATGACTTTAAGCAGAATTGTGGGATCGCTATGTGATATACTGTTAGACTCAAGGAGCGTTAAAGTTAAGCTTCGCTACGACTAGTTTGAAAATTTTATAAGCTATCGATAACAGAAATTCAATCGCAAAATCTCACAAACCAAATCAAGAACTTTGCAAAAGAAACAGCAATCGAGCGTGCGAAAGAAAGCTAATCTGAAAAAATGTTTTTTTTTATTCCGAACATTTTCAAGGAGCCTGTTGCGACGACTGCAGTTACAATCTTTTCGAATATTTGAAAGCTCAAAATGATGAGTTTTCGATCAAGTGGTCACCACTTATCACTTAAGGTTTTTCTCTCAACGCTCTTTTGAAGAGTAGGTCTCAGACTAAGGCGGTAAAAGCTTAGCACTTTGGCAATTCGCTATTACTACTGTTTTCCCTCTTTCCTCACTACTTTCTGATCGGCACCGTGTTACACGTATCGAGGATATCCCGTAAGCAATTGGGCATATTAAAAAAAAAAGTAAAGAAAAACTGGGCGGATAAAGAAAGAGGCGGCCGTTACTGAATGAAGGGAGCGATATGTTTAAAATTCATGTAAAATTCAGGTTGCTTATGCTTGAAAACAAAGTTATGAAATTATATAATTTTCACTATTAACTATTAACTTTTAGTTTCGTATGTGGGGCTTGGTTGTAAATCCCGGGATTATATTATTCGCTTTAATACAAACGTATTGCTTCGAATTGAGTTCAGTTTAGAAAAGGCAATTCCCGATGTCATCACTCCCTGGTAACCATAATATTAGAAGCAGTGACAATATGCACAAGCTTTTCTTCTATTAAATTTAACTTCTTCTTTTTCTTAATTTATATCCGAAAGGGCATCAAATATTAGATATTTCAAGTTTTTATTAAAAAGACATCGTAGAAGAAATGCGCACTTCTTGGTTATTCGATGAGCATTTTGACGTACTTAACGAGATTTTGACTATAAGTATTTGGAAATCCAGGGTAAGGAATTAAAAAATGTTGGGCTTCGATTTAATTTATGGAGATCTCTTCAGTGCCAAATAATTTTATATGATAGGTTAATGCATAATTATCAGGCGTTTTTAAACGGTGTTATCAGGCGTTTTTGAACACTATTTATTATGAAAATGGAAACATAAAAATACACACAGTAACATTTCTAAATGATTGATCCGGAGCGTACTCATCATCTACTGTTTGACCTTTTTGAGACAACGCTCAATGGGTGGATGGTCTACGTTGAAGTTGTCGGCTAGTATTCGACTTGTCAAGCTTTCGTCCCCTTCCAAGCCTGCCAAAACTATCTGGTCGTCGAAATTCGATGGTCGGCCTCTTCGTGACTTATCTTTCAAGTTGCCGTCGTTAGATTTGAAACGGGCAAACCATTCCCTGCATCGACTTTCACTGATTGCGCCCTCTTCGAAAAATTCGTTGAGATCGTGAAATGTGTGCGCTGCTTTCCTTTCTTTCCAACGCACTTGTAGGACCTTTGCAAGTACCTTAACCAAGTTTTGTTAAATCTGCGAAATTTTAACATTTCTTGGTTTTTCTCTTGCCATTCTTAACAATGATACAAAGCTTTACCCCCACGTCAGAAATGTGTAATGTGAAAATCTCTGTTTCCATATATATATATTTTTTATTAATGGAACGCAAGTTAATACAAAAGATGAGTGCCTTTGAAACCGAGAACAATATTATTAGTGCAGTAAAACAATGAGGTAATTTTTCATTTTTCTTACCTTGAACTAGTAGGCATTGCCGTTTATGAAAATTTGTTCACAAAAATCAAACAACATCTTAATTAATATTCACCATTACATAAGAATAAATCTCAGTCATTTAGCTCTGATATATACGAATCGACAATTACCCACCTGTGAACTAGTTGTCAAGCACTCCATTAGTTAGAAATAGAGAGAAAAAAAAGCAAGTAGCAGTCTTTGGTTTAAAATTTGTTTAAAATACGAGCTATTGTTTCGGATGGAGGTGGTAGTCATACACAACCAGGGGCATCTTATATAGCATCAAGTAAAAGGGCTTTCATTAAGCGTGATACTAATTAAACCATTGCAGTGTTTGCTACTTTTTTCTTTTATCTTACAATTAAGCTCTTAATTAGTAATTCCAAGTAATACGGTACCGATTCAATGTCGACGTAGGAGTTGGTTTAAGAAATGCATGGTCTATATATAATGGGCGTAGTTAATACTTCTTACAATCTTCTTACTTTTTACAATTTGTTAAGAAAGCAGCTTTAAGTAAATTGGGCTTCACTTTGAAGATTAGACATTGACATTATGTTTTAGATGAAAGTTCATTCAAATGTCCGTCACGGCTTTGAGCACATTGGTGCAAACGATGCGTTTAATTGTTTAATAATTGTTAAGCATTCCTTCTAACACTACTTGGGGTATGTCTGCGACAGTCCGACGAACTTTTGCCTTCAAATGTGCAAAAGTTTGTACCGCGTCAGCATAGTTATGGGCCTTAATGTAAACGAAAGCTGACCGTAGCCCAACTCTTTGATAAACAAATGATGAGCAGCCACCACTGAAGTGCTTGTTCGGTATTTTTTACATTTTTTAATGATTTCTAAAACTTCCGAAATTTTAGGTTGCTGCGTGATTACACTCCAAATTGTAATGCATATTTTAATAACTGGAACAGCACAAAAATATATATTTAAATTTGGAAATTACAATACTAGATAGTATCGCTCGTAATGAAAGAATGGTACTTACATATTAACGCCACCGCGGGAAAAATTCCATTTAAAAACCAATAAAAAGCAACCCTTTAAACTTTTGAAAAAAGTTTCTTTGCTTCAAAATATAATAATAATATAATAATAATACAAATGTTTTAATAATTTTTTTTTAATAATAACAATAATTTAGTAATAATACTTTTGCCGCGGTGGCGTTAATACGTAAACACCGGAAGAAGTTTTATAAATGAAAATATATAATTGCTTTACACACTTTTATCTGATAATAAAAGTTGCAAATAAAAACGTAACAAAAATGTACTCCAGTTGTCTGATTATTTTGAAACTTCGGTCGCTGGATTTTCTAGATAAACAAGTTTCGAAGAACAATTGCCTTTAAGACAGAAATTCCGGTTGATTAAGCTAACCTACTTATTTCTGAATCTTTGATAGGTTAGTGTAACGGTTGCAACCAAATTTTCCAAATTGTAACTTAGACAAATAACTATTTTCGTTGGCTTCTCCCATGGTTTATAAAAAATCATTTGAAATGAAACACTGGTAGATTTATCTATTAATAAGATAGATTTGCGGTGAGAAAGTCTACAAATTTTAAATGCTTTAAAAATATCACTTTACACTTAACTGCACCTTTGGTGTTTTTTTTTTTCTTTCACAGGCTACTCTTTGCCGCAATCATAGCTGAAGTTCTAATAGGATCAGACGCTGTAAGTGTTCTATTTGCTTTTTTCTTTTTTTGGGTAACTTCTGCATTCATCACGGTAATGTAAGTGCAAGCAAGAAGTAAGGTCAAGTGAAATTTTACGTCAAATATAAAATTCCAACTTAACAGCTACCCACATATTATTAACTTCTGCACTACGAGATCGGTAAGCAAGGGACAGTCGGAACAGGGATGCCATCTTAAGTTAATTAAATTCTATCCGAAAAGGAGTGTGACAATATAATTTTGAACTCCATTCTTATAGCTCTCTATCAAGAGTAGTAGTTGATCGCAACAAACCGAAATTCAGTGTTCTTTCCGATATTTAGGCTTGTTTGCATTATATGTAATATGTTTGTCCTACTCACATACATGGTAAGTACACCTTTACCCACTCCAGAGAATGGTTAGCGTTTTGTTATTCCACTTTTCATAACTAAAGACAAAAAAGATAAAGATAAAGTGACGATATTACCGTCGTAACATTTCGAGCATATTCATAACATTCCCAGAGCAGTGTTCAGTTGTCTGTCTGTTATTGAAGTAATCATAGTTACGAAAATTGAAAGCTATTCGTTTAAGCTAACTTTTTTAAAAATTACAATAATGCGGCCAATGAAAATGTTTATTGTACGTATCGGCAATAAAGTCAAACTTCTCCAAACGGTATATAGTTCCTTTTATTAATGATAACGGTATACACTATTACATAGCAGCGTTCAACTTCAATTGCAAAGCTTTTCAGAACATGTATCGTAAATCCAGTTGATCCATTAATACGCACGTAAACACGAAAAAATGTATAATTTTTTTCTCTTAATTTAACGATTCAAACTTTCTAGAATAACTTTTGAACGCTATTACTATTCCTTCCAGCAATTTTGGAAAATTGCCGACACAGGTGCAACATCAATATCGGAAAGACATTACCGGCCAGAATATCCACAGCCATTGCCCAATCCAATTGACGATAGTTATGCGGTGGTAGATAGTCCCAATGCCTTGCCACCAAAAAATTGTACTAGTGGTCCGGTTGGTTGTATTCCTAAATGTTTCGCGGAGAAAGGTAATCGTGGCCCACATGGCCCCATTGGCGTTCCGGGTCCCAAAGGACATCAAGGTTATCCTGGCATAGAGGGACCACCTGGCGACAAAGGTCAAAAAGGTGATCCCGGCCCTATGGGTCCTCGTGGATTAAAAGGTGAAAGAGGCACTTCGGGCATTCCTGGTATGCCAGGTGTTCCCGGAATTCAAGGTGTCTCCGGCAATCCAGGTGCTCCTGGTATACCTGGTAAAGATGGATGCGATGGCGAAAAGGGTTTACCTGGCGTTGCTGGTCTAAGTGGTATGACAGGACCTCGCGGTTATCCCGGTGTCCCCGGTGTAAAAGGCGAAAAAGGTGAACCAGCCAAAGAAAATGGTGATTATGCGAAAGGGGAAAAAGGTGAGCCGGGTTTTGCTGGTCGCTCTGGGAACCCAGGTCCAGATGGTCCGCAAGGCTCTAAAGGTGATCGTGGAGATACTGGTCCATACGGAGTACCAGGTCCTCGTGGGGATCGCGGCCAAAAAGGTGACAAAGGCGCACCTTGCTTTGCTCCTCCTCAACCAGGCAAAAAAGGACAAAAAGGCGAAAAAGGTGAACCGGCTCGAAATGCAGCTCCTGTACATGGTAGCGAAACTATCAGCGGAGAAAAGGGAGATCGTGGAGAGAAAGGAGATAACGGTCCCCCAGGTGAAAAAGGCGAAGTCGGATATCCTGGTGAACCAGGTCGTGATGGCATGAAGGGAGAAAAAGGTCTCCCTGGTCCGTCCGGTGATAGAGTAAACTAAGCATAAAATCTTTTAGAGTTCATCATTACATTTCAGTGTATTTGTAGGGCCGTCAAGGCAACTTTGGCCCGCCTGGTCCATCTGGTCAAAAAGGAGATCGTGGCGAAACTGGTTTGAATGGCCTAGCTGGCAAACCCGGTCTAAAAGGTGAACCTGGTCGTCCGGGAAAAGCTGGCGAACGTGGTCTACTCGGCCCACCAGGTCCTCCTGGTGGTGGGCGTGGATCTCCTGGTGCTCCGGGACCAAAAGGTCCGCGGGGATATACCGGTCCACCGGGCCCAAAAGGTTTGGATGGTTTTGATGGAATTCCTGGTCCACAAGGTTTACCTGGCGCCAAAGGTGGCCCCGGTGTTCCTGGTTTACATGGCGTTGAAGGTCCAGCCGGTGAAAAAGGCGAAAGGGGCAATCCCGGTCGTCAGGGTTCGGTAGGACCTATCGGTCCACAGGGTCATACGGGCCCTCCTGGTCCGGAAGGGCAAAAGGGTGAGCCCGGTCTTCCGGGATACGGCGAAAGAGGATTAAAAGGCGACGATGGAACCCCCGGGTGAGTTGCGTAGTATTTGCCTCTTGTAATATTGACAAGAGAACACCTTAAATCGTCCGTCAAAGTCACCACAACTTAACAGTTCGGCTATTAAGAATTCGATGGCCTACTGTTTACTGAAATTTTCAATAAGAACCAAGCTCTTTCAAAAATTTATAACAAAGCAATTTGTTTTTTATTTGTTTAGTATACCCGGTCTTAAAGGTCAAAAAGGCGAACGAGGTTTTAAAGGAAATCTTGGTGCTCCCGGTGACTCTCAATTAGGACGTCCCGGTACACCAGGGCGTATTGGTGTACCTGGGCAGAAAGGTGATCCAGGTCGTCCTGGCGCACCAGGTCAAAAAGGCGAAATGGGACCAAAAGGTGATATTGGCGGAAGGTGCTCAAGTTGTCCCCCCGGATTTAAAGGTGATAAAGGAGAACGTGGACTTGATGGGGCTCCTGGAAGCCCTGGACTTCGTGGACCTCCTGGGGAACGTGGTTATCCTGGTGAACGTGGTTCTGATGGCATCGCCGGCTCGCCTGGTGCACCAGGAGATAAAGGTTTCGACGGCCTACCAGGTCTTCCTGGTCCGGATGGCCCCGCCGGCAAAGATGCGTTGCTTGACTTGGATCTCATTAATGTCGAAAAGGGTGAAAAAGGAGAACGAGGCTACAAAGGTGCTCTTGGTCCTAAAGGTGATAGGGGTGAAGCTGGTTTTCCAGGTATACCAGGTCAAAAAGGTGAAGTAGGCGAAAAAGGTGATAAAGGTTACTCTGGTCCAAGCGGAACTGATGGTATTCCCGGAAATCCTGGTAGAGATGGTCGCGACGGTGTCCCTGGTCAAAGCATAAAAGGTGACGCTGGAAAGCCAGGGCTAGACGGAGAAAAGGGAGATAAGGGCTTTTCTGGGCCACAAGGAACAAAAGGTGAACCAGGATCCTGTGATATAGACAACATCAAAATGCCTCTCAAAGGAAATAAAGGTGATCGAGGTGACCAAGGTAATCCAGGCCCTATGGGTCCAATGGGCGAAAAAGGCGATATCGGTAGACCAGGACAAAAAGGTGATCAAGGTGCTGTGGGCCCAACAGGTCCTGTAGGACCACGTGGTTTGGCAGGCCCACGTGGAGAAAAAGGTAATATAGGTCCAATGGGTGCTCCTGGTAACCCAGGCAAAGATGGTATGAGAGGACCTCCTGGAAGAGGCGGCGTCCCAGGACAGAAAGGTGAGCAAGGCATTGCTGTGGCTGGACCTCCTGGGCCTCCTGGTCGTATGGGCATGCCTGGCGAAAAGGGTGAGCGAGGTCCCACCGGTCCTTATGGGCCTCCTGGTTTAGATGGAGCTCCTGGTTACCCTGGAGACAAGGGTGAAACTGGTTTTCCAGGTACACCCGGATTCTCTGGTCGTGATGGCGAAAAAGGTGATATGGGTCCCTTGGGACCTCAAGGTCCTCCTGGCCCTCCTGGCAAACCCGGTGTAGATGGAGTTCAGGGTCGCGATGGTGCAAAAGGTGAACAAGGCAGTCCTGGCATGGTAGGAATGCCTGGTTTAAAAGGTGAACGTGGTGCTCCTGGCAATGATGGTCCTAAAGGATACCCTGGTATAACGGGACATGCTGGTCGACGTGGTCCTCCTGGACCAGCTGGAATCCCTGGTAAGCTTTATGACGAACCTACTTTTTTTCTTTACTCATAATAACACATTTCATTCTCAGGCGTGAAGGGAGACAAGGGCGAGCGCGGATTGACCGGAAAAGATGGATTACCTGGCCCACGTGGTCCGCAAGGACCGTCTGGAATTATGGGCGTCAAAGGTGATACAGGACCAGTTGGTCCACCAGGAGCGGATGGTATACCAGGTTTAGAGGGAGAAAAGGGAGAATACGGTCCCCCGGGAGCAGATGGTTTACGCGGTGAGCCAGGCGACGTTTCTGAAAAAGGTCAAAAGGGTGAGCCAGGACCACCAGGACTGCGTGGTGAAAGTGGAAGGCCAGGAACTCCCGGATTAATTGGTGAAAAGGGTGTGCCTGGTCTTGCGCTACATGGACGACCGGGTGCTCCTGGTGAAAAGGGTGATAGGGGTCGGGACGGTATAGACGGCCGGGAAGGAACCCCTGGACAGAAGGGTGACCAAGGTTATCCTGGTCCCCTCGGAGCAAAAGGTGACAAAGGTGCAATTGGTCCTCCCGGTGTGCCGGGTCATCCCGGAATGGATGGTAAGCCAGGAGAAATCGGTCTCCCCGGTCCGATGGGTCATACCGGCATAAAAGGCGATAAAGGAGAACGCGGCTTCCCAGGTGTTAATGGACCTAAAGGAGATAAAGGCGAAACCGGTTTACCTGGTTTCAATGGAACACCTGGCGCTAAAGGAGATCGTGGATTACCAGGAGCTCCTGGCCTCAACGCAGTACCAATCACGATTAAAGGTGAAAAAGGAGATATGGGTGAACCCGGTCTTATTGGTATGCCTGGTCCTGCCGGCGAGAAAGGTAATCAAGGTACAGCAGGCTTCCCCGGCGCGAAAGGTGACAGAGGTCTAACCGGTCCTCATGGCAGCCCAGGATTAAACGGAACTCCAGGTCAAAAAGGTGAAATAGGACCTATGGGGGACGTTGGCGTTCCAGGCTTAACAATAAAGGGTGAAAAAGGCTTGCCTGGGCGTACCGGTAAAAATGGACGGGAAGGTAATTTCATACACGTTATACTCATACACTCAAATATCGTAAACTTAGCCCCATATTGTTATTTTAGGTGCTCCTGGCCCCGCTGGTCAAAAAGGAGAAAAGGGCTTACCTGGTCTTCCCGGAAATCCTGGACCTGAAGGCCAACCTGGCCCTATTGGCCCTCCTGGTCCAAAGGGTGAGCGCGGCTCCATGGGATCACCTGGCAGGGATGGTGGTGATGGCATGCCTGGTGCTGCAGGCGTTAAAGGCGACATGGGCTATCCTGGACCCAAAGGTGAAATGGGTTTGCCAGGACTTCAAGGTCAAAAAGGCGAAAAAGGTGACTACGGTTTAATGGGAGCTCCTGGCATGCCAGGATCGACTGGTCAAAAGGGTGACATGGGTCAACCTGGACTTGATGGCCGCCCTGGTGGTGCCACCAAGCCTGGCTCACCCTTCGCGCCCTTTTGACCAAACTAGACTTGATGGCCGCCCTGGTCCTGTCGGAGCACCAGGTGAAATGGGTTTTACTGGCCCGAAAGGACGTGACGGCCGTGATGGTTTATCTGGTCAAAAGGGCGCAAAGGGTGAGCCAGGCATGGTGCCCCCACCAGGGCCGAAAGGTGAGCCAGGATATCCAGGAAGAAACGGCCAAAAGGGTGAAACAGGCCCTCCTGGTCCACGCGGTCTGGTTGGTCTCAAAGGCGAACGCGGTGAAAAAGGAGAACAAGGTTTAATTGGTTTGACTGGCCCAATGGGACGTCCTGGTCCGAAAGGCGACCAAGGACTACCCGGCCCCGTAGGTCGAGATGGACCACCAGGTCTAACAGGTGGAAAAGGCGATGCCGGCTTACCTTGTTCCGCAGCTCAGGATTACCTTACTGGAATTCTGCTAGTGAAGCATAGTCAGTCAGAAGAAATTCCACGATGCCAACCAGGTCACATCGAATTATGGAACGGATATTCTATGCTCTATATCGACGGTAACGATTACGCTCACAATCAAGATTTAGGATCTCCCGGGTCTTGTGTGCGTCGGTTTTCAACACTGCCCGTCTTATCGTGCGGACCCAATAATGTATGCAATTATGCTTCAAGAAACGACAAATCATTTTGGCTCACAACTTCAGCACCACTACCAATGATGCCAGTACAAGTCCAAGACGTCAGCCGTTATATATCTCGTTGTACCGTATGTGAAGCACCATCGAATGTGATTGCTGTGCATAGTCAATCGATCGAGATACCAAATTGCCCAGCCGGTTGGGAAGGTCTTTGGATCGGTTACAGTTTCCTAATGGTAATTTCAATTCAATATTTGATAAAAGAAATAAAAACAAATTATTTTTATTCTTAGCACACTGCCGTAGGTAACGGAGGTGGCGGTCAAGCATTAGCTTCCCCAGGCTCCTGCCTGGAAGATTTCCGAACAACGCCATTCATTGAATGTAATGGGGGTAAAGGTCAATGTCATTTCTACGAGACCATGTCCAGTTTCTGGTTGGTAACACTAGAAGATTACCAACAATTCCAGAGACCCGCAATGCAAACCATCAAAGCAGGGGAGCTACTGACGCGGATTTCGAGGTGCCAAGTATGTATAAAAAATTCATCATAAGCAAGGGTGGTCCCTTCTCTCTCCCTTTATGTTCACCCTTAGCTTATATTTCCACCTGGTCGCTATCCTTTTTTGTTTTCATAACTACTCTCTCTCTCTGTTTTTTTTTTTTAATTAACCTTAAAAAATATATCGCTAAAAATTTCTTAAATACGAAACAGACAATATACACATTCACAACATGAAATGAATACTTTTGCTAAGTAATCGAATGCCAAACATGTTAAAATAAATGTAAAAATTTTTACCGAATTAAACTAAACACCAACACCAATACAATTTAAATATAAAACAGTGCATATATAACTTTTTATAAACGAATTTAAAGTTCATTTTTAATACTTTTTTTTAATTATTTTATTATTAGTGTTTTTTAACTTAAGTAAGAAGCAAATAAATAATTAGAGGAAAAGCTAATTGTGAAAAAAAAAAATGAAATTATAAAGATATAACGGATAATATTATATGAAGCGAATTGTAACTGAAAATATTTCAATTCAAAATAATATGGTAATACGAAAGATATTTTAATTAAGAAATTCCAAGCCAAAAATTATAACATATAATGAAGTACTTGTGACGAATATTAAAAGAAAGAAAAAACAATTTTAATATCATTTCTTTTAATTTATATTAAAGAATGCATTTTTTTTCTCTCCTATTTCCCCTTTTTTTTTTTTTTTTGTTTTAATTATAATCTGACCAATAACTGCCATACAGTTTTCTTCGTATGTAATTAACTGTTTTATTAACAAAAAAATCAAATCAAGTCGAAATAAATGAATGCATACAATTACATAGAATCCCTAATCCCTAACGAATAAGTTGTAATATTTTACATTATGTATAAATTTAACATCAACAAAACCAAAAATATAAATAAAGAAATTCTCATTAAAAAAAAAAAAAACAAAAGTAATAGTGAAGCGACTTTATTATCAAATATTCCGAATTAAACGTACATGCAAGCATGTGCTTCGCTCTGACTTAACAAACTATAGGCGTGTGAGCAAAAGTAAATAGAGGACAAACTTTATCTTGCAATCGCAATATTGGGTGCAGGAAAGGTTTCATCACTTTCATCAAAATTTAAATCCTTTTTTTATACTTAAATAAATTTCTTTATATCAAGCACATGCCACGTTGATCGACAATGTTTCTTGCTAAAATTCTTACGCGTCCTCTGTAAAATTACTGAGATCTCTGAACTGAGTGATTTTCACAGATCTTTTTTGTAATCGGTTTTACATCATTCAGCGAGCTCCGCATAGCTAAGTTCTCTTAGTTACATCGAAGATATTCTATACTCTGCCATTACGGCGGCGGGAGGCGATCATTTTGCTATTTGTCAACTATGGAGGCTTTACCTCAACTGCTTGTTTTAATCGCATTATCTGTTGATAGTATTATTTTGATAATATAGAGCAAATGTGGAACAGCTCACGATGTACGGTTCGTTTTCAATCCCATCAAACACAAAGCCTTACCCTACCAAAATGATTTAATTTCGATACGTCATTATAATTCGCTGATGACAATTTGATCCATTAAATTTTTCGTTGCCTATTCGTGGCACAGTCTTAGGTAAACAGTTAAAAACTGTTTGTTGATCAATATTTAGTTCCACAGCCTGCGAAACATTTTCGTCTTAATCGAAATGATATGGTAAAACATAGTAAGCTTGTTTCGCAGTTTAGATTCATTTTTAAGAGACAATTACTTTCGGTTGCACTAATAAATCTCACGATGTTTTTTATTGTAATTATATATGAACTATTATCTTCCATAAGCATCATAACATTAAAATTACGCGACTTTAAAGCCATCTATAGTGAAAACGCCAAAATTCTTACTAGTTCAAAATCAAGCGTTGGGTTCAAGTAACCCAACAATCCTCTTCGAAAACAATTAACCCTTAATTTTTTATTACTACGATTATTATTATAGCTAAGCGCTATAGGTGTAGCACATTCGTAGTCGGAAAGAAATGGAAGAAAAGCAAAATATAGGTGTGGCCTCAGTCTGGGAGGAATGTGCCCGTTCGGTAAATCTCAAGGTCTTGCACTATAGTTACGGCAAGACACCAAACGCAATGAAATTACGTTCTATCGCACTGAGAATTGAACGCAGCTATAGTGGGTTGACTATTTGGCTATGTGGTAAACCCAAACGTGAGGTTTCCTCTTCGCAGCTTTGAATCGCTTAATAAATCTACTGAATTGTTTTTTAAACTACATACGACATTTTTTTATATTTTGTCTTTGGTAAGCAATTGTTATTCATAGGATATTGTGCCAGCAAATGTCGACGTTACGCACGGACTAATGCCGCAAAATCGTCACGATATTTGTGCAACAATACGGATGTGCATGGCTAGTAAATGCTCAATATTTTATGAATATTTAACATTGGGCGTCTAATAAAGAAACTTGAAGGGCGCAGTGCGAGAAGTTACAAATTTTACTTCTAAAATCTACATATTGGTGATCATAATGTTTGTGTAACGCCAGGCGAAAAAAAGAAAACCGAAAAACCGACTTAGGAGACGGAAAGTCTCAAATTTTGTGCTTGTAATAGTGATAGTATCATTAATGTTTCCAAGGGTTACCAATAGAAGAAATGGACTTTACAAACCTAGCAAAGTAAAAGTCTGATAACAATGAAGTGCCCACAAAAGTCAATAACATGAGACTTTTAGAAAATAGATAATTTGAATAGTAAGAGGAGAAAAAGTAAAGGAATAAATTACATATAACAAGTAAAAATATTATAGTAGGACACCGCCCACTATTAAACACCCTACACCACTTTGCTTGAGACAGTGATTATTATAAGGGACTTTTCAAAATACGGCGTTATATAGGCGATGGTTGAAAAAGTGGTCCGATGAAAACATTTTCAATAACTTTCGTCCGTAGGCCAAAACATGTAGGTGTACTAAATTTTATCAAAATATCTTAAGTATTACGATCTCTTTGGTTTTCCTCCGAATCAGTTCACAGATCGTCCCAAATTTTCTACGTACTCCTGCGAAATATGAAAATCATAAACATGTCGTATTATTATTATTTTCCTCCTCTGGCTGACGTTGATGTTTTCAAATAGATACAAATTTTCGACCGTTCTTGGTGCAATCCCGAAAGACTCTAATCACAATGAATCCTTTTCTTACCTTATAAATATTAAAAGAAAAAACTACATTAATTTGGATAGCGTTTAGAATGGCAACCACCTTCCATTAAGTGTCTTAATAATCTTAACAAATTTTCACCCTCAACACGTAGAGGCAAATGTAAAAAGCCGGTAATAAAAATAATGATAAAATGAAGAAAAAAAATGTAGTAAAAGCATAAAACTGAATTCAAATTGAGGGCATATTATCATGTGGGTTTCATGGAAGAAAGGGAAATGAGGAGAACAAAAGATAAACTCCGTAAAAATGCGAACTGGAACTGGAAATACAATGACAACAAATTAATACGATGTTAAATAGCACTAGCAACGACAAGTGACAAGTGCTGCAGGAGCGCTTGCGTTAATATACATATATCTACATATACTTTCATTCATATACATATATATATATGCGTATGTATAAACACACATAGGGGTGGTTAATATCTTTTTTTCAATAACCCATCCATATAATATTTCGTGTAGATAAAACGGTAGTTGGTTTTGTCAGAAGTCAAATTGGAATTGTAAGAGTTAGACGTGAAAATCGTATCAGACAGAAAGAAAAAAAAAAAAAAAAAAAAAAATTAGCATAAGAAAAAGTCAAATTTCAATAATTATTAAATCAAATAATTGTGTGTTAACATTTTTAAGTTATTTTTTATGATTTGTTTTTTTTTTTAAGTTACCGTTAAGCACAAAAATTGCAAAATTGAAAATCGAATGCATAAAATTGAATAGTTCTTTGAAAGATTTTAAATAAAATTTTGATGCACTTGCTTAACCAAGTGTCCTGAGCGGATGTCATCGAGCAACCCCTAAAAGGTTAAATAAATGCAATTGCATACGCGTATACAATTATTCATCAACTTCCTTTACTTACCCCGCTACGCACGTATGTACGTGTTGGTGTTGTGCTTATAAGAAAGTTTAAATAAATTCTCTGAATGATTATCGTTTTGTTGTTGTTCTTCCAATCAATCTGCCTGTATTGTCAGCGTTTAGTGTTATACATTCATGACCGATGGATCAATCCGAAAAATGTGCGCCTATTAAAAGAAGCAGCAGAATCAGCTAAAAGTACGAAAATAGGTCCAGATGAATATCAAGGATGTCAAGTGAAACGATCCAGAAAACGAGGTTATGTTTTGAACTCGAGCAGTTCAAATGCGTTAGGTGGCAACGAGTATTGTCGTTTCTGCGCTAATACACCGCAGGGCTACTGCCGTCATCATTTTCATTTACAAGAGTTGCATATGCATAAATTACAACAACAAAAGGAATATAATAACAGTCTGTGGTGTTCGTTGGGTAGAAGTTTTGAAAGGACGGCAGATTTGCGGCAATTACGTAGAATAAAACGTGAATTAAAACGTAATTTGCAACAACAAAAACAGCAAAACATCCAACCAATTCCTTTACTATCAAAATACAAAAACGTTGAAAGTCATTTTTTAGCACAGGAGGAGCAAACTTCACCCACAGATTCCGGTTATCAGTCCAGCCCATTGACTTCCCCTTCAAGTGTTATCAGCACCACACACAGTGAATTCATTTCGTTACTGTCACCTGATCATGCTGGTTTAATATCGCCTTCACCTTTTGAGGACCGTCAAAGTGCGTTCGGTGTTAACAGCTGCGGTCCAGCCTCCCAAAGTTTTGTACCTTACGATCATAGAACTGGTTTATCTACCACATACTTGTGAAAATTTTTGCCTTTGTTTATTTGCTTTTCCCTCTTTGAAGAAGACTTTAACAGATAATCTATTCTACAAGACTTGTTGAAAGATGCTCAAATATACAAATATTGATTGAATTTGAAGACCAATTGGGTTTTAACAACCCCCACCTGCATATACACCTGAATAGCGCTATTGAGTTTAACAAGAAAACACTTGAATCTATTCACAAAAGTACTTG